CGGTTTCCCTTTTAGATTTACGATCCCACGAACCGATATTTGAAGGATCGGTTAAGGGAAAAGGAATGGGCCACCCACAAATGGACGCTTGATTTGAGAAAAAATAAAAACATGGTCTTGTGGGAAAAAGTGGGTTTGGGTTGACTCTGAATCTGAAAAGGGCATCTTTGGGACAAAAATACTGATGCTTTGCTTAGATTTAATTAGTCTTCAGCTCTTCATCACACAAAAGCACATCATTAGCATCATCATTTTTAAACTTGACTTATCTCTGAATAATGTACTAACTGAATAATACTAACATACTAAAAAATCTAAGAAATCTAGCACGATGCTAACAAATCTTTAATGCTATAGTCAAAGAAAAAATACTATTCTTTTAGCATACCGATTCTGAATGGTAATTTCCCCAAAAATAAGCAATCAGTGCTCCAAAAATCTGTCTCGTATAAAAGATTTCTTCTATCCTTGATAATTACTGTGACTAATGCTTAATTCCTCAATCTTACATCAGTTGTCTTTTACTGAATCACTGAATTCTGGAGGATTGACTTTCCAATAAGCAAATCACAAAATAAAAGAATTCTTTCTCGCACCTCTGAATAAAATTGAAACAGTTAATAAATTTATTTAACAATGACTACGTGATGCTTAAAATATAACCAAAAATCTTGTATTTTTAGAAAAAACGATCACAGATTCGGTCCAGACTTGACAAAAAACCTCAAAATGATCTTCTAGTAAAAAGTGTAGTTTTCTGAAAAAAGTGATTCTTCTCTTTTAGTTTTCTTTTGCACAAAAACTGAGTCATTGTGGGAAGGAGCGCTTGAAATTAGCATCAATTTTCTTGAAGAGATTCTTGAGACATACGATTTTTTGAAAGATTTTTGAAGGAAAATAAAATTCAAGCTTTTTAAAGCTATCTTTAGACTAGTAGCAGACAAAACTAAGCCAAATGAATGATTTTGAATAATTTTTTAAACTTTTGGAAAGAAAGAAAGTATTATTGTCGTTGTGAAAACGTGGGGAAATGGCTCAAGACTTATCAAATCAAAAATGAAATTAAAAAAGGTAAAATTTTTGAATTAAAAAAGATGAAAAACTCAAAATTGCAACTAGATATGCTCGTTCAGATGGAATGCTTGTATCTACAAGGGAAGAAGGTTTGTGTTGTCTGAAATGCTTGTCACCTCCCGACTTTTCGAGGGCACACACAGGGATTATGCGTAGAAAAGATGGGGGCTTTGCAAAGACTCAAAACTTTGTCGAGGTTAGGGTATAAAGCTAGGGTTTAAGTAGGAAGAGTGGAAGCATGCAGAAATGAGTGTCATGTGGATTTGGAATTGATTTGGAAAACAAATCGAAGTGATTGTTAGGTATTAAATTACAGTTGTTCTTCTTAAAGATGCTCAAAGCCTCTGTGCTACTCAAAAAGTTGTTCTTAAAGTTGTTCAAAACCCTCTGTGATAGTAACACTCTTTCTTAACCAAAAATCTTTTAGATTAAACAATTTTGATATGAAAAGCCGACTTATCTTTTACAACAATATAAGAAGTAATCTGGGTTAAGTAAAAGATTTGAAATGTTGTATTGAATCTTTCAATAACAGTAATCTTACGAACAGGCGAATAAGCTGAAAAATGAGCTCCATGTTCTGTAAAAAGTAAACTCCTGCCAAAAATGTGACTTTAAGTATTGAATACTTGCCAAAGAAAAAACATCAAAAAACAATCAACAAATCCCGAAAAAGATGAAAATCTCAGTAAACAAAATAAATGGAAAGTGGTGAAACAACGCAAAAGTTGTCTAAATATTGCTGCTTGCCTATTGTAGAGTATTATCCAAGAGTTTAATCTGATAACTTTATTATCTGATGCCTGATTTGATTGTGGGACATTTGATCCGCCCCGCCCCTTTGCCATTGGCAATCTAATTTTGAGCTCAAATATCTTGGTGTTGAGCTGTCCAATTTAAATAGTTTTTGTACTAGTCGACAGAGAAATACTTGGCGCATCCAATGATACCAAGAATATTTAAATGGGACAGCCCAATACCCAGAAATTGGAGCTCAAAGTTAGATTGCCAATGGTAAAAGAGGCGGGACGCGGATCAAATGTCCGATAATCGCCTAATTTAGCATTTACAATGTTATAAACCTTTGAATAGCTAAATGCTATAATGCTATAATACTATAATGCTAAAACGCAAGAAATGCTAAAAGAATGTGAATCTTGGTGAAAAGGGTGAAGCACTTCATAAAAAGGAAAAGTTTGATTGTATTCAAGAGTTTAAAAATGATGAATACACATAGATTAAGCTGAAAACTTGATCACTATTAGAAATAGCAATGTCATAAAGTTGCAAAGTAAAGTGTGGTGCTAAAAGGGTGTGAATGTTTGGCTGAAAGGGGGCGAAGCAATTCGTCACTCACCCATCTCGCGCATTGGCACCTAACCCCGAAAATCTAACAGAAACCCCTTAACAAAAAGAGGAAAGCAAGATAAAAGAGATAAAGAGGCCTATTGATACTGCTTTTAGCCGGCAAAGCACCCAAGCACACAGTCCCACAGCTGACAACTGACTCTCGTTTCTCTCTTTGGTCTCCTTTTCCCTTCTTATCCACCTCTTTCCCCAGGTGGTCCCAAACAGATTGCTTCACTCATTTTTCTTTTTATCCTTTTTCTGCTTCTCATGAGATCCCAAAAAAAACGGCCATCCTTATTGCAAATTGCTGAGATGTTCACCTCAAAAGTCGGCAAAAACAAACCGACTCGAGATTTATTAACCCATTTAGCTTAAGGAGAAGATTTTGAAATAGATAAAAGGATAAAAGTTTGGATTGATAAACTGGATAAGTACAATCGAGATAAGTAAAGATAAGAATAAAAGAGATAAGTAGAATTGTGTAGCTAAAGATTAGATCAAGCCAATATTAGACAAAAATTGCAAGTGATTTGATAAGCTTGACTCTTTTTGACGATAAAAATCTCTTTCTGGCATACTGAACTCAATATAATGTCCCAGAAAGTGTGCGTTTACCGGTAATGCAATGTAAAACTTTACCAGATTTAGTGCTCATGAATAAACGTACACTTTCTGATGCACCAAATTGAGTTTAGTGTGCTGGAAAAGTTTGTAAAAGATCAATTTGTTGCAATGACTTTGCTGAAAATGTCAAAAATTGGCTTTGTTGTCAAAATTCTTAATATTGCCCAACGTTTTTCTCGAAAAATCCAAGAAATTTTAGTTCATTGACCGGATTAGCTTATCAAATTTCTCAAAGAGACTCCGACTCTATGGGATTACGGAAAAACTGCCAAAATGGTCTAAAACCTTTAAAAAATTTCGATGACAATATTGTAAGTATTTAAGCGCATTTTCGGACACCAAGTTTTTTCAAAAAAAAAAAACGAAAAAAAGTCGATGATATCAAGCGTGGAAAAGGGATGAAGATTAGCAAAAGCATTCGAAGAAAAACCCTTCGAAAAACACGCCCAAAAACGAGCCCCATTTTCCCTGGGGGATTTCGGGGATGAAACAAAAAAGCAACGAAAAACCAACATCTATCATCTTCATCTTGATTTTTGTGAGTGCACTAAATTGTAGATTTAGCTCTTTGAGTTTACTTACTTTATCAAATGGAAACATATTCTCTCTAGCGCTCTATATTCCCCACTAATGTAAAGTAAAAAACACTAAATGGCTTCTAATCGAATGCTTGAGGACAAAAATATTAAAACCGATTCTTTAAAGTCTGGCTTTATTGATATTGATATTGATATTGATAGTCTTGCTTATTGGACTTTTAACGAAAACATCTCCAAAGTTACTGCCATTCGTAGGACGTGTCAGAGTGTCTTTAAACCTAAAATCGAAACACCGTTTCTGGTGTACTCAACTTTACATTATAAAAGATGTTCAAATTAGGTTCTTGAGCTTGTAGCTCAGGTTGAAGCCTGGGTTTCAATTAGTCCTAAGACTTTTTAGGGTTAATAGTAAGCAATAGACTTGCAACGAAAACATCTGTCGGCTCTTTTTGCCGTTGGCAATTTAAGGTTTTTCGTGTTTTTCTCAGCACCAACCCTTCAATGTTGAATATATTGACTATCATTCGATGCAGAATAAAATTGCACGTCGAATGTTACTAAAATTAACTCAAAAGGTAATATCCATGCAAAGTTATGAGGCGAAAGGTTAAGTCTCGCCTATAATGCGTGGGGTTTAGGTTTTTAGCCAACAACTTTGCATGGATATTATCCTTTGAGTTAATTTTGTTCTTCGTGCTTTATTCTGCATCGAATGATAGACAAAATAGACAACATCGAAGGGTTGGTGCTGAGAAAAACATTATTGCCAACGGCAAAAAGAGCCGCCAGATGTTTTCGTTGCAAGTCTATTGCTTACTATTAACCCTAAAAAGTCTTAGGACTAATTGAAACCCAGTCGACTCTCGATTTAACGATTTGCTTGGAACCAAAAATTTCGATTTAACGATTCTAAAAGATGCGCCAAATTTCTTGCGTAGCTGCCCCGAACGGCCAACGATTGCGTTTGGCTGGGCAGCTACGCAGAAAACAAGAGCGTGTTTTAGAATTTCAAAATCGTTGTATCGAGAGTCGACTGTATAAAAAGAAGGAAAAGATTTGCAAAATAACGTTGCTAGTGGTCTTTTTTTCCAAAACTTTTAACAGCGAAAGACAAGAGGTACAAAAGAAATTCGAGCCTTTGAAGAGCGATATCCAATGCTCAAAAGAATTCAGTAAAAAAATTGTTGAGTGCTTTGAGCTCTGTCGGAACCGAAAAATTACATGAAAGAGCTGGTATTTCTCTTTTCTTTTCACCATCTTTTTGTCTCTTTTTGCTTCTTTTCATTCGTTCGTTCGCATGAAACCCAAGCCGACCAATGTATACAAGCTTTCCAACCGAGCAACAGGAGACAAGGGAAGAACAGCCACACTCTCTTTCTTCTCTCAATCATCATTGCCATTGAAATATTTATGATGAGGTAAAACTACATGATAATAGGAAATGTGGAATTCGATTTTGAGAAAATTTTGATGAGAAGAGCTTGATGGGAAAATAGTTTGGATGTTTCAAAAAGGCTTCATGCAGGCCAGCTTTGTAGCTTTGTAGAAAGTTGATTCATTTACAAAAAAAGCCAAAAAAATTTAGTCGGACAGGATTAGAACCTGAACGTGACTTGGCTTTCAGATCAAACAAGCCAATCGGGATCGCAAATTTCGTCGATTTTGGTAAATTTTAACTTACCGTCACGTTCCTGTGACTTTTGTGAGAAAAATCGAAAACAAGTGCGATAGAAGCTTATAAAAATTTAGATTTTGCCTCCAACAGGGCATAAAAATATTAAAAATGGGTAAAAACTGCTAGAGATCTAAAAGTTTTCAGTCAAAACGGTAAATGGTAGCAATTTTGAAATCCCAGTCAAATTTGCACACAAAACTTTGCTAAATTTGCATACAAGTCGCAAAATCGTGTTTTTTTTTCTTTTCTCCCAAAAACATTTCATTTTTCTTCTCCCCGAGTCTTTCACAGGTTGGTTTTTACATTGTTTTCAACTTTGTTTGTTTTAGTAAATGCAATGTTTTGTGTCACTCAGCCACTGCCAGCGCGCTACCTCTTTGGCTCGGAGAACCCGAAAATACCGGTGGGGTTTTGAGGAAAAATTTATATTTCAATTGATTGGAAGAATTAGTAGTTTTAGAAAATAGTTGCTAAAAGTATAAAATTCTGGATACTAACAAACTTCGGGGGGGTGGTCACTTTGACCCGATTTGGTCAGATTGTATTTTTTGACTGTTTTACCAACGTTATTTTACTTTTTCTAGGGTAATCAAGCATGATGAATCTATTGATAATATTTTTAGAAAATTCTGAACAATTTTTATTGATATTTTGATAAGCTGGCTGAAATTTTGCCTCTGCAGTGTTGCTAAGCTTAAAAATGAAGAGAGGGGTAAAATGCAAAATGATAACTTGCTCAAAATATTCTAAAAATATCGTCAAGCGATTAAACATATTTGATTACCGCAGAAAATGCAAAACAAGGCTAGAAAAAACACGCCTAGAAGCAGGGTCTGACCAACTCGGATCAAAGTACCTCCCCCTCGAAGTTTATTAGTACCAAATTCTGTGATTTTACAATTTTTCTTGCAGATAACAAGACTCGGTCCACCCGGCACCGCGCCCGTCACCACAATTGTTCCAAGCGGCAACTCGACAAAACTCCAAAATAAGGTACCGTTTTTCTTTGCTTCGACTTTATCGAAATTGGAATCGTTATCTATTTTTGATCTTGTTGTTGGAAGTTTTAATATCTTTTTCCTTTCAGCAGTCTCCGTCAAAGGCCGCGCTCAACTCTCTGCCAGCACCGCTCAAATTGGACAAGAGCGATTTCATCGGATTTTTGCCGTTTCATGTGAGTTTTTTAACGTTTTACTAAAATCCTCGCTATGCGCATTCTCATAATTTCGTTTCTGATCTAACTGAACGTTGTTTTAATTGGTATCTAGGTAGGACTAAATCTATAGGGTGCGGCATATGTAGTGTTGCGCAAAATCTACGGACATTTTTTCACTAGATTCATGAGTTTGTGTAAAAATTTTAAACCATTTTTCATATAAGACTTAAAACGTGATTGCTGCTCTCGAAAAAATGAAATTTGTCAAAAATGTGCCCATTTTTGTTAGACAAGATAATCTCACATTTGCAATAATGGAGCTCAAAAAGCACTTACTTTTATCGTAATTAACTCTAAAAACGTATTAATGCAGAAAAAGACGATTTTTAGAGACCCCAAACTCGAATTTAACTGTTTTTCAGCATCGTGCCGCATAGCATTTTTTTACTGCTCGGCTAGGGTTGTTAAAAATGTTACGCTTCTTCTACTCTATGTCAAATTACGCGTAGATTTTATGATTAATTGTTGTTTTTCGGTTTAGGTAAATGTATTGTCTTAGAAAGCCAAAAAGATGCATTAAGCGCAACACTATTTACCCTGCAAATGCATGCTAATGCATAAAGCTGAGAAGGGTTCCCCACGCTTAAGCTATCAATCAATGTCAATATCAATGTCTAACAATATTTTTTAAAACTTGAAATCTTAATTTTTAGCTGGAGAAGCCGTATGATGTGCCGAGTGAGAAATCGTGGACTCCCGCAATACGCTTTTATCGTCGAATGGTCAGCTACGCACAGCCGTGCACTCTCTGTCAAAAAGCCGTTATGGTGAGTTTTTTTTTGGCAGAATAAAGAAATTTATTAGGGAGCTGGTCAAAACAGCGCCGGTCAAAATAATTTGTTTGCTGTTAAGTTTATTTGTGTTTCTTGTTTTCATTTGTTGTAGAAAAAAATTAGCTATCTGCTGAATTTTTTGGAGCCGTTTAGAACAAATCTGGGATGAGAGAATGCCAAAAAAGCGAAAAAGACCTTAAAAAGAGGTTAATTGAGCTTTTCTTGACACCAATTCTGTTTTAAGTGATCCCAAAGTATATAAAATGTAGATATAATTTTATTCTGCATCCAATAAGAATAAGAAATAAATGGAAAATTAACCGCGGTAGGGCTGTTTTTGTCGTGACCCCGTTTGTACACGGCCCTGTTTTGACCTGCTCCCCTTTATTATTGTAAAAATGTTTGTAATTGTAAGAGCTCATAAAACTAAAGTTTATTCATGAAATTGTTTTTCAAATCCTAAACGTGATTCGTTAACTTTATCTTTGGTTTTGTTTTTTTATTTCAAGTTATCTGAATTGAACTTTTTTAGCCTCGTGGTTTACTCGTGGTCCTTCCGTGTGCCCACATCCTTCACCCCGAATGTGCTGATGAAGTTAGTGTTTTTACCTTTAGGTCAATGAAATTATTTGCATACTTACTAGAGTTTTAGAGTTAGAAGTTTCAAACACTGTTTACTGTATATTTACAAGAAACTTGTACTAATAGTAGCATTTCTTTAGATGCATTTCAATCACCGACCATGTGATCGTTGCGATGAGATCAGCCTTAAAAAGAAGGGATTTCTCTACTATGTTTTTATGCTCTTCTGCTGCTTGTAGAGGTTATTCATTTATTTTATATCCAAGTCAACACTGAAACTTTAATATCATCGCTTTTCTTGTCATTTGTGTTTTATACAAATTTTCCTTCTTCCTTTTTCTCGGTTTCGTGATGTGTGCTCTCATCTCTGTATATTCGGCGTTTTGAAAAGAGATTCTTATCGGGTTTTTGTAAATTCAGGTTACGGTTAATTGGATCCAAAATGAGATCCAAATTATATTTTCTAAAGGTTCCAAAGTTTAGTTCATTTTTTTGGAAACAGTTGCCCTGGCACGTGTGTTTCATTTTTTTTTCCCTGTTAGCCAATTTTTCCTCCAAATTTTTATACCGCACTAATTTCTTTACCAAAAGAAACTGAAATTTTTGAACAAACAAATAAGTTCTCCATTTGTCTGAGCTGCTCAAATCAAGGCTATCGATAACCGTCGTTCTTAAAAATTGCGTAAGAAATTTTTGGGTAAAATTACAACATGATACCCGTTTTCTTTTGGGGAAAAAGGAGTTTTTTTGGGATTTTCTCTCACAAACAGCTTTCAGCGAGTTCCCTGGATCAAATTCATTTCACAAAAACTTTCTTGATTTGTGAATTTTAGCTTTCGTTCCTGTCTCCTTTCAGCAAAAGGTTTTGAGCATTTTTGTAACTTTTAGACTTTCTGAGATTAATTGTTATACATATCGGATCGGATTGCCCTAATGAAAATGATTTTCAAATGGTTGACCGAATCCGAAAAATTTACTGTCATTGTACTTCGTCTCACTCGACCGGAGCTCGAGCAGAATCCTGTCCAATCAGATTTATTCTATTCTCATGTGTAATATGAATTTATCTACCTCTTACTATGTGCTCACGTTTCAGAGTCAAAAACATTTAAATATCCAACAAATCCTATGAGGTTACATTACTTGACATTTCTGTTATTTTCCGTTTTATCACCGACCGAAGCCGGCTTAGGCCCGGTAGACACTTTCCTGAACTTATGGCACTACGGCATCCGAGAGGTACTAAAATCTAAATAAATTCCTAAAAGTGCTAGTTTCTACAGCTTACAGGTTCTTCTTTAGGTGAAAGACCTCTTCTTGAAAACGCCAAAGCAAGTATTTGGGGATAAAAAGGTAGGTTTGAGCAAACAAATCCTTGGAAACATTGTAAAGCCAGGTAAATTTCGATTAATCATGATTACGCTTAATTGAGACCCAGATTGACCATAGCTAGGGACCGCGACCTACTTTTAAGAAGCACTTTAGGTCGAAAATTGTTGGTTTTTCGACAAAACAGCTACGAAATTTGAAATTTTAGACCAAAATTACCCCTAGAAGCAACAAAATAAAGAGTTTTATTGAGATTTAAAGGGTAAATTGAAAATTTTTCCCGTACTCGCCTTTATTTTGGCGTAAGAGCCAAAAAGCGTCCAAAATGGGAGCTAGCTACCGATTGAGGCTTGCAGAACATTTGCTTTGCAACGGATTGAGTTCATTTAAAGTTATCAAAAGAAAGTCACATATTTAAGGATCAAATACCTACAAAAAGAATACACAAATATTAACTTTGAGCCAAGTTGTGAGATTTTTTGTGAAAAACGCCTCCTAGGCAGTGTGCAAGATGCTTTTTTTTCCTATAAGGTACGCACACTCTCGGCAATCCCAAAGCGTCGATGTCGTTTCACAAAAACTTTCATAACTTTGCTCAAACTTAATATTTCTTTGTAGATAAATAATCTAGAGGCATTTTTCTAAATATTGGGCTTGAGCAATTGGCGCTACTTTAGAATTCTTAAGGCTGGGTCGTAACATGAAGTTGCACCATCCTAGTTTTTTGCACCAAAATCAAAATCGCTATTTTTTGCTATTTGCTCTGCTCTACAAGCTATATGTTATATTGAAGCCTGAAGTCTCTACTTTAAACCCAGAATAGGACTTTCTAGAGTAGCGCTTAGCTGTACAGCAATCCTACATCAGCTACGGTACCCTTAGATTAGCTACAGTAATCCTTAACTTACAAGGGAAGGTCGTCAACAGGCTGAGCCGGCCAAATGCTATGCGACCTATACTAGTCGACGCAGAATTTTATGCTGATTCCGAACATGTATTCTGTTTTTGCTAAATGACAATCTGCCAGGAGTTATAAGCGTTTAAAATTTGGTTAGGACTCTGAAAATATGGTCATTTGGGTGTTAGCGGCCTTCTTGCGGACCGAATTCGGTGCAGCGATGGCCGAGGGGTAGGACGTTCGTTTGCCAGAGCGAAACCTGACAAGTTCGATTCTCACTCTGAATTTATCTTTTGCTTTTTTTCAAGAAGTGCTGACTAGTGTTCTTTGTGCGCGCGCACAATAGATTTCTTGTTGTCACACTTTTATAAAGTTTTTTTACACTCAAATTCTCAAATAAAGACAAAAAGAAAACTAACATTGATGACAATCATCGATAAAATGGAAAGAACACATAACTTTATATTGCACCGAGCATAACACAGCATAATATTTTTGTTGACGGAACACTACACGAAAAGGCATTCGTAGTTATACTAGAAACGAACCAGGCTGCACTGAATTCGATCCGAAGGCCGCTAAGACCCAAATGACCACATTTTCAGAGTCCTAACAAAACTTTAGACGCTTATAACTCCTGGTAGATTGTCATTTAGAAAAAAAGGAATACATGTTCGAAATCAGTATCAAATTCTGCGTCGAATGGTATAGGTCGCATAGCATTTGACCGGCTCAGCCTTTCTTCTCTTATTAGTTTGAATAATCTTATTAAGGCATGACTTTAAACTAAATGGTGATAAAGTCTTGTAATGCTGAAATAAACTTTAATCAGGTCGAAGCCGAAGTCCCAACTATCCTATCGCAAAATGCCACGCAGGGAACGAAAATTTATGTGAGCTAATTTAAAAAGTAGAATTTTACAAATCTTTATAGCTTTTCTCCGATATCGCCCGAGCCGATATTGAAGCGAATCCGAATTTGAGAAAAATCCACGAGGGTTTGAAGTACTTTCTTTTCAAGAACTTTACTCATGACACTCTTTCAGTGGTGAAGTCTTCAACACGCTGTCCGGTCTTCATTATAATATTCTTATCAAGAAAATAGTGGAGACGATGTTCCAGGAAAAGTTCAAGTAACTTTTCATCAAGTCTTGTAACATTAGCCTAGCATTGGTCTACTTCAATTTTTTACCTTTAGCAAAAGTTTGCCTGAAACTCTGCAAAATGATTCATTTGGTCAAACGGTTCCGGCTAAGCACGAGGCATGACTTGTTTCACTGAAAACCAATTGACCATTTTAGTCTTGGGGCAAGATGTTGCTGAATATTTGGAAAGGTGTACTCGGCAATCAAGAGCTCATCAAAACATTTCAAGATAATGTACGTTGGACAAATAACAGAGAAACGGTAAAGTTTTAGGTGTTGAATCGACTTGGCTTCGTGGACGACTTGGACAACGCCGTTGTCACTTTTGGAAAAGATGTGAAAAAGGCGAGCTGCATTTTAACCTTATTTAACTATTAGGCTAACCAATAAGTCTTTTCGCTTTTTTGTATATTTCCGTTTAGAAATGATTAATGCATCAATTAGCATACAGCTTGTTTCTTTAAAAGGTTAACTCTTTTTCTACAAAAAAAAATGTTGATTTATTATGAAAATGTTTGGTTTTTGAGTTAGTTTTTTTAGTTTTTTAGAGGCGCAAAGTCGGCTAGTACAAAAATTCGATTCGATTACGCGATTTACACACTTTGGTCCACGAAAACCTATCTTGCTGTTAATAGCAAAAAAGATAGAGCGTAAAAAAGTTAGATTTATAGCCAAATTTTCAGAATTTAATCTGTTCAGTCAATTTCTTTAGAGTATTTTTCAAAGGATTTTACGCAAAACTAGTTTTTACACTCGAATTTGCTTGAAAACAAATCCAAACTTGCTGGAAAAAGTAGAAAAATAAGCAATAAACGTTTTCTATTTGAAGCAAACCGTAGATCAATTGGTGAGTTTGTCAATTTCTAAATGGAAGTACGCAAAAAAAGGCGAAAAGATTTGTTTGCCAAACTGATAAAACTCAATACTTGGACCGGGTTTAGCATTCATTCAAATGTTTGATTGAATCATTGGCTTTCAGACTATTGGTGCCACATTCAGCGAGATCAACCCATCACTAGAAACAAACGCCGAGCAAAATCAAAGTTTTGTCAGTCGCGTGAGAAATCGACTCATCTCCGTGATTGAGGGCACAATACCACTAGTTGATTTCAAATCTTCAATCAATTTATTGAGATTCAGAAAAACTTCTGGCAAGCAAACACCAATGTCGACAATCGTCCACTGCTTACAGAGATGGAAAAGCTTTTCGAGAAGGTGCTGTTAAAACACCTCACAGGTAAATGCTTATTGCTATTTTAAATTCAGATTTTCTATTCTTATTTTAATTCTAGAACAGATAGAATTCTTCTGTTTCGTTTGTGAGATCTAAATCTAGATCTTTTAGGTATCTTATTTGAGGGTGACAAACTTAAGCCAACACTGGAAAAATCGGTGAATCGCCTCGAGGAAACGATGACGAAAGAATATAGGTGAATTAGATTTCATAATCAAGGCTTATGAAAACTGATTTTTTATAAAAACACCAAGTTTTGAACTACTAGAAACTTTATTTTCTTGATAAAACGTTTTCTAAAAGCTGCGCTTAGAAAAAGTGACCATTGTACGAAGATAACTAAGGCTTGCAAGCATTATTTTCATGAAATTGTGATTTTTAGTGAAATCGCTCAGGAACTCACAGCACAAGCCAAGCAACTTGAGGAGTTTTTCTTGAAAGAAAACCAACGCGACCCACGAGGCGACTTTATGGAGGTGAGTTGGTGGGATTTTTAGGTTAAAAGTACTGTAGAAATACTGTAAGCCCTAATCTTTTGCTAATTAATATCCTAAGTCTAAGGTTTGTTTAGTTTACTCAATACTTACGCAATATTATCGTTCTTTTTCAGTGTTTCTTCATTCCAGTGGACAACGCGATGAGGGGTAAGCTACGGTATCGAGAAAATCGGAGCTTTCGATTGTATTGGAAACAATTCAAGGAAAAGTACAATGGTCAACAGATCTCAACCCGTTACGATGTTTGTTTCTTTTGAAAATCATCCAAGTTACCGTATTTTCCCTAATGGTACAGTCGAACCTCTAAATAACGATAGCCAAGGGACCGGCTATTACTATCGTGATATCCAGGTTATTGTTAGATCGAGGTTTTGTTATATAGAGTTAAATAAAACTGGTTTTCTTAACTAAATCGTTATAGAGGGCCAATATAAAAATTTTATTAACAATAACAACAAAATATAAAAATTGCAAGGTTTATAATTTGGAATAAAAATGATTGAACGTACTCTGCTTAACAAGTTCAAAGTTGTTTCATAGAAAAAGTCATCAATAACAGTTAAAGCACGAGAAATATCACTATTTCCATTTTACTTTGCGTATTTCTTGAACTTTTGAAAAAGAACGAATGTAAATAATTGCAATTATAGTAAGATAGTCAGTAGAATAGGCTGAATATTTTAGGTTCTCACATTGGAATAAGGGACGGAATATTTGGCATTCAAACTTTCTATTTAAAGACTGTTTTTGCCGCAAAAATTGTTACAAATTGTTAAAAATATTGAATATTTTAGAAAATTTTTATCGTTATATCGAGAAAATCGTTATAAAAAAAATCGGGATATTGAGGTTTTTTATACCGTACTTTACGTTACGGCTGCCGGGGCCGAGCACAGCTATCGTTATATAGAAGTTATCGTTATATCGAGGGTCGTTATAAAGAGGCTCGACTGTGGTGACAAAAAATGATGAAGCCCTGCCTGTTATGGCAAAGTTTCAAAGGTTTTAGTTGAAAACTCGCAAGTTTGTGCAACTTTTTATCGCTCAGTTGAATGGGCGGGGCTTCATCCTTTTTTGGCCGCTACTATTAGGGAAAATACGGTAGTAATTTTTTGAAATTTAATCAATCATGATTTTGCAGAAAATGGGGTACGATTATATCTTCGAAACTTATCTGAACCGACTGTACAATCATGAAGTGGCAAAAGGAAACAATACGTTCGACTACACAAGCCATGAGACATTCACCCAAATGTATACGACCGTCTACAAAATGGCGGTGGTTAAAACTGATCTAAAGATAAGAAAGTAAAGTAAGGAATGGCAAAGAAAGATTTCCGGAGAGGGGATTGAGCCCACGACCTTTCTGCTTTTCTTTTTGCTTTTTGCGATGCTCTAACCATTGACCTATCCGGTATCTTCTTGTCTGAGAAGAAAGAGGAAATACGAGGGGAAAGAGAAAGGAAGAAAGAGAAGGAAATAGCCGGCGATTTTTTTTAACTGGGATCGAACTTTGACATTCGAAACGCTAGCCAAACGTGCGTACCACTTGACCATACTTGAGCACACTATATCAGGCGCAAATCTAGAGATTTGCGTGCAAATTTTTCGCATCTTAAGGCCTCCGAGAGTGGTTTACAATTAGCTTAAGAGTACGATAGCCATTTGATAATTGTGAGCGCAACTTTTAGAAAACACAGTGGCTAGTTTAAAATCAAATAAGAATGCCTAAACATATCTACTATATATAAAAGGGAAGTGTCTGTCCGTCCGTCCGTCCGTCTGCCTGTACGCGCGAGTTCTCGGCCCCCCGTGAGCCGATTTATACGATTTTTAGTTTGTGAGGCTTAGAATTCTATGTAGTTGTGCATCACATATTTCGTTTTTTAAAAAGCGGAATTCACGACACAGCCAGGAGTCGAACCCGGGTCGTATGAGCGGTGGGCAAACGCGCTACTCATTGGCCAGACTTGAAAAGGGGAAAATAGCGAAAGTTTACATACGAAAATTAGCAATCGAGTTATTTTTACTTATCTACTTATCTTTTTCGGTTTTTCGGTTGATAGCCAGATATTCCTGCAAGCGTCAAGGCTTATACGTTAGCTTTCAAGTTCACTTTTCAGCGCCAACTCCGCTTTTTCTCGGACTCTCAAGAAAAGATTTTGGAATCCGAAGCTGAAGAAGATATTCGAGTGTTCAGTCGATATCGAGAAGAGGAAATGGATGAGTTTAAGAAAAAAATGGAAAAACTCAGAAAAGTCGATCGTTCGGTGAGTTTGATTTAACTCTAAAGTTTAACCCTAGCCTCATTCAATTTTCGCAACTTTAACCATTCAACTTTTTAGTACCGCAAGAAAATTGCCACCATTGATTTCAACACGTTTGTCGCTTACCAAATGGGCTTTTGCACGATCGATTTGAGCGACACGGCCAATCATTCTCTCTTCGACCTTGGATTCGAAGCTTTCCACAATTTTGTCAACATACATCGATGGTTTGGTTTGTGAAAGTGAAGGCATAAAACATTTCCCAGGAAGGACACCAACGAAACGTTGAACCGAAACTTTTTGTTCTACCAGAATACGACTGGGAGCTGCGAGCATCGATTCAATTATATCCACAAAGACTACCATCATGGGCATTTTCATCAGAAAAACGTAAAGTTCACAAAATGTAGCTTAGAAATTAATTAAGAAATATCTAATCTTGAGTAAGATTGACGTAGCTCAAATTAAATTGTATGTCGTAGCCGATTTTGAACGAAATTTTTTGGTAAACCTTTCTAGTAGAAAAACCCTTTAATGTATAGGAATATTATTCATTTTGTGGAATAATCTGCGTCAATGGTACAAAGTTGTGTGTTTGGTAAAATGCGGGCGCATTCAAAATCGGCGAGACGCTCGTAGCCGATTTTGAATGAGTGGGTCTAGGGGCCTCCAACCATCGCGTTTTTGATATCATTCGACGCAGAATCATTGATAATTATGTTAAATTTTTTTAATTAGAAAGATTCGATAAAAAAAAAATTTAAAATTTAAAGAAAAAACTGTTTGTTCGAGAGAAAACTTTGAAGTTCCATAAAATTTTTGTTTTTACTCAATCTTTCTAATTAAAAAATAAACATATTTATCAATGATTCTGCGTCGAATGATATCAAATACTTGATGGCGGAACGCGCCTAGACTCACTCATTTAAAGTCGGCTGAATTTCAAAATTAATCAATTCAAAAACCCTAAATGTTATATAGGGAATCGAAGCTTGAATTTTTGCCTACATTTCTGTACCAAAAAGTCTGCGATTAAATTTTCGCACTCGATCGCCTCGACTACGCGCCATTACGGTCCGTTTTGTGTCTTAGCTTTAGTTCATTCGAAAGCTCCTGGGATTTTCTATTTTTTGAGCTATAGAACATGTCAACCCGGAAGATTTAAAGCAAGTTAGAAGCTTTTGTAGTTTGGGTTTGTAGTTTGTAGTGCTCATGTTTAGTTTATCATACTTCTTTCAGAGTCGAACTGGCGCGAAGTTCTACCTTTTCCGCGAACACGATGAGATCACGAATGAAGAGAGGGAAAAGCTTAATACAAGCCTCAATGAAAGGTAATATCCTTGAGAAAGCAAAATTTATACTAATTTAGTTTCTTGAAAGTTTGGCGTCAATTCTCCCCAAGACCCAGGAAGCCTACCACGAGGCGGCTGTCAAAATTTGTCAGAAAAAAGTCAATGACAAGCATAAGTGTCGGGTGAGTTGATTGGACTATACAAAAAGCTATATTACATCTATATTACACTATAACTTTATAATACATTTTGATTCTCCATGGTTTAGTTCGTGTTGACGACAACAAATGACTGCATTTACCCGCGTGAAAGCGATGATCCTTTCATACTCTTTTTGAATCCACACAAGAACATCAAAGTGGTGATCGGAATCTGATGTAGCAATGGAACTTTTCCGCAAAATCTTTTACAAAATATCGTTTTTTATATCCAGTTTTTTGTTGGCTCATTGTCAGTTCACCAATAAAACTTTATCATAAAACATCTTCAATAAAGTAAGACTGCAGAAATTTCGATTCATTGATTCACTTATTGCCACTTTTTATGTACAAATTCTTGGAATACATAAGAAAAGAAATTGCATTCAGAAAAGTAAACAAATTTTGGTCAACCCTGCCGGAAAACAAAACGAAATTGTGCGCACAAAGTACAAAGATTATTGTCTTCAACCAAATGAAATTGCAAAAGAGCTAATACAATTCAATATGAAACTACTTGAAAATCATTTCAAGGTCAACATCGTGTACTTGAAGTGGTTCATTTCTTGGATGTTGTGGGCTTTGTGAGGCAGATGGATCTTTCTCTCCCTCATTTCCCAGACCCATCGTCGCGCCAGAGCTTTCGGCTCGTTGTCTGGGTTGACCTAAAGTGATTTATTATGAAAATATTTTGAACTTTTACAAGGATTTTAAACAGATAAGAACATTAACGTGCTTTCAGTAAGTTTAAGCGTTAAATATAAGCTCAAGTTGTCGTTTATGTATGCCAGGACAAAAGTATTAGGCAATGAAACATTGATGGCTTCCAAGTTCTTTACAGTTTTTAAGTATCAGCTTTTCGTGGAGCTAATTTGAAGCTTCGGGTTTAGCGTTCAAAGAAACCCAATCAGTTGGCTAACCACTTCAAGTTGAAAGCTGAAAAGTGCTTTAGAAAATGTCGAAGCTATATTTCCGAGTGTGTAAGAAATTATAGTTTAGGTTCTAATCTTCAGTTTTTGATTGGCTTGTAGCAAATCCTAGTAATTCAGCCCTAGTATTTGTATTCAGACTCGCTACAATTGGCGAACTAAAAGACGATATTCTAATTGTAAGCCTACAGAGTTCTGAATCTCACCTTAAGGAATTGCTCCAACTTACAAGGGAAGGTCGTCAACCGGCTGCGCCGGCCAAATGCTATGCGACCTATAGGATTCGACGCAGGATTTTATGCTGATTCCAAATATGTATTCCGTTTTTGCTAAATGACAATCTGCTAGAAGTTATAAGCGTCTAAAATTTTGTCAGGGCCCTTCTGTCTATCTATTTTTTTTGAAAATTTTTCTATCTAACCTTTGATATTATTTGTTGTTGAACACTTAAATAGAAAAATCTAAACAAAATTTTTGAATATTTAGCAATTACGAAGAGAAGGGGAATTAGGGAACACCAAAAAACTCCGTTAGTGAAACTGAAATCAGATTTGGAATCAGCGTTCAAAACCCTATCAGATAAGCTAGAGCCGATTCAAAAACACCGACTTAAATTGGCGCCATTCTCTAGCAAGTTGGATCAGTTCCTAGTCAGAACTTAGTAAACTTTAAGCTGTATCAGACTTGTCCACCAGAACACGAGCTTTCTGAATAGCCTTTTTCATATTTTCAACATAAAACTTTTACAGGACATTTTCAGAAACAATTTCAACAGCCTTCCAGTAATTAGACTATTCGACACGTATCTTGACATCAATTTCATGCATACAAAATGACCTTGTTTTCTACCCATCAAGCTCCTGCTGAGCTCGATGACGGTGAGGCTCTGGATTTTCTTCAGATCTGAAAATTCTCTGCCTAACTCCAGAATTCATTTGATTCTTTTAAGCAGAAACTTTGTATCTGACTTTCTGCAAATTTTTCTAGCACGAAGTCTTGCAATTCGATGCTTTTTTGCCCCCGTGAGAACACTCGGATTTTCGGAAACTCTTGAATGCTACAAAAATTTCGAAGAAATTGTCGTAAAAATCTCTTTTTCCAAAAAATTCCCGCTTTTTGCATGTAGACTTTGAATTTTCTTCGTAGTTTCGAGAACAGGTGAAAAATTGGCCCAAAAAGTGAGGGCGTTGAGTCGAAATTCTCAATTTTCCTATCAAAAAACTCGTGACTCAAGTTGAACCCGGTTAATTAGCAAAAAAAAGCCAAAAACTGAGGAAATCGAGAAATAATGGGATGGAATTGTGAGGAAGTCGAGAAAATCGAGAAAATTTTTGATCTATAGGATGGAGGGAAAATAGCTGCCGATTTTGTGGAAAATGACTCAGATTGAGCTGATTTTGTTTGAAAATCGGGGGAAAATTTAATTTCTATTTTCAGAGTTATCAAAAAGTCAAAGTTGCGTGATTTTCGAGAAGATTTGAGTTTAATTGTAGGAATTGGGTTAAATATTGCTTTGTTTACTGTCCAAATCCAAATGCCTCACATCAAAACGCACCCTTTCTGTCGTAACACTTTGATTTGCATTTTTACAGCATCAAGACCGTTATTGATAGAAACAGAGACGAATCGAGTGTGCCAGAAAGGGTGTGTTTCAATGCACGTAACTTTAAAGAACGTAGGAAAAATGGGTACTTCATCCAGGTTAAAGCCATGGTTTATAGACGTCGTTGAAATGTAAATTTTAATTACAAATTGCAAGCTTTCAACTTATTGCTGCTTGCCTATTGTAGAGCCTTCTTCCCCAAGAGTTTAATCTGAGGACTTTATTATACGATGCCTGATTTGATTGTGGGACATTTGATAGTTTTCAAAGTTTTATAAAATCGTAAATGCTAAATCAGGCGGTTATCGGAGATTTCATAAGCGCCCCGCCCCTTTTGCCATTGGCAATCTAACTTTGAACTCAAATATCTTGGTGTTCGGAATGTCCAATTTAAATATTCTTGGTATCATTGGATGAGCCAAGTCTTTCTCTGTCGACTGGTACAAAAACTATTTTACAAATAGAAAAAGACAGCCGAACACCAAGATATTTGAGCTCAAAGTTAGATTGCCAATGGCAAAAGGGGCGGGGCGCGTATCAAATGTCCAATAACCCAAATGTATGCCGAAACAATCATAATTGTAAAGCAAAAATACGTTTGCTTCTTGCTTCTACTACCTCCATTTCACTAATTCGTGAATATTTAGACTTTTTAACTAAATTACCTGCAGGGTTTTTACTAGAGGACGGTGTCCCAGCCGAGGTCTTTCTCACACTGTCTTTCTTTATCGATCCACTACTCAATTTCTTTGCCGATGAGGATGCGGCTGGTGGATCGGCTTTTCTCTGAAACTTTTCGATAAGCTCGATCTTGACAATTATTCACATCAATTTTCAAATAACCTCTTCAAATATCCGAACGGCTTTCGCGAACTTGGGAATCGTCGGGACGGCGCGTCGCTCCCAGCCAAGAACCACCTGAAAAATTTCAAACAATCAAAGTTTTTTTTGAGAATAATATTGAAAACTTAAGCAGTTTGTACTTTTAGGTAGCTTTTATTGTAAATTTTAACATTTATGGTTACCTGTCTTGACATCAAATTGCAAGCGGCTTGCCAAACGGCGAACAACCGCTTCCGGATCTCGGGAGGGATCGGCCCATCTGTTCGTCTAGCCGATGTCATATCGACAATAACCTGGACATTAAAAAATTTAATAAGAAAGAAAGAAATAAGATCTAAACCAACCTCTGGCAACAATTTGAATAACAACTCAAAATTGTCGAGGTTCAGTGAGGGGAGGATGATTCGGTGAAGGCCGCCGAGCTCTCTGAAACTTCTCATCTCAATTGGATTAAACTCAATTTGCTTTGGGCTTTGGATTGGGTAATTAAACCATGTTGTCACTTTCTATTTATTGCACCAAAGTCTTGAAAGACTGTTAGACTGGGTTCCTCTTGGCAAAAGAGGAAAAGGACAAAAGGAAGCAAAAGGATGGCAAAGGAAGGCAAAAGGATCTAAAAACCTGCGCTTAGAAAAGAGCTACTATATTAATTGATAGGAAGCTTAAGAAGTAGCTAGGAAAGAGCTACCATACTTATTAAACTATCATTTAACACATTAACGACGAAACTACCGATATTTTGTACTAATGACGATGATTTTTGGTGTCAAGTCAGGCTTTTAAGGATTTTATTATTCGTTTCGCAGAAAGTTCTTGGCAACTTTGTTCTAGTTTTCAAGAGGAGATTCAGGGCTATCGAATGACTATAAAAGTTTAGTTTATCTTTGAATGTTCACCAAATTATCAGTAAAACAGTTAACGACTATGCAACTGTCGTCATAATACCGTCGGCAAATGTGTTAAGCTTTATCTAAACTACCCTACTACCTTGTAGGCCTATTCCATATATTTCAACTGAAATTATTGAGGAAACCTGCTCCACTTGTCCAACAGGCCAAACCCAATTAAACTCTTTGCTCACAAACCTCAAATGCTTTAAGAACTCATCATGTGCATTCAATGGAGCCGCCACATCGCCATACGTATTCACACATTGCACAAGCGTCTAAAGCTTTCACATTTCAAAATACATTTATTCACATGAATAATGTGGTACAAACAATACACAAGCACAACTGCTAAGCCCTAAGTGTCGGAAGGAAAAAAGACCCATATATATATATGGGAAAAAAACAACCAATAATCTAGTTGGCGGGATTGAACCCTTAAACTCCCGACTAACAAGAGAAGGTCAACTGGATGTGCTGGTTAATCACATGAGCTATAGATCATTCGACGCAGAATTTCACGCTGATCTGAGGCGATCTGAGGGTGATCTGAGGCGTTGTTTGAAGAGATCGCCAAGTTGTCATTTTGGAAACATCAAGATTGAGCTTTTTTTTGACTTGAGACATCGAGTTTTCCATGAATGCTGTTAGCAATGTGAAGGACACCTCGATCAGAAAGCTTCTTCTGATAGTTTGTTCGCTTCTTTTTTCCATGTTGAGTTTTCAAGGTAACAAGGAATGGTCAACCGGGTGTATTGGCCAAATGCTATGTGAACTATACCATTCGACGCAGAATTTCACGCTGATTTCGAATCTGCTTTCCGTTTCTGCTATGGTGCACTCTGTCAAAAGTTTTACACGTTTAAAGTTTTGTAAGGAGTTTCAAAAAGCAAACCGCCACATTTCAACCCCGCCTTTCGCGAGCTGGGCGGTCGCGGCGGTGGCCGAGTGGTAGCGAGTTAGGACGCAAGGCGAGGACTATCTGGTTCGAATCCGATAGCTGCCTCCTTTCTTTTTAGGTAGTCCTCGCCTTGCGTCCTAACCCACTACCACTCGGCCACCACTGCAACTGCTGAGCTTGTGAAAGACAAGGTTGTAAAGTTGCGGTTTGCTTTTTGAAACTCCTTACAAAACTTTAAACGCTTATAACTTTTGACAGAGTACTCCGTTGCAAAAACGGAAAGCAACTTTGAAATCAGCGTGAAATTCTGCGTCGAATGGTCTATGGCTCATGTGATTTGACCACCACACTGGGTTGACCTTTCCTTGTAAGATACTCTAAACCTCTTAACCAGTCGGCCATCGTCGCATTTCAAATGTTGACCTTTAATTTAATTCCCGATCAGTTACGGTAGCTTTTGAAATCCCTGACATTTAGATTTAAGCGTCACTCCGAATTCTTACGTACTTATTTTCCTTTAGTTTCCAGTTTCGAGGTTCTATTTTGGAATGACCTTTTGCATGCGTCAGAAAATTGCAACCGGTAATTTGCCTTTTTGAGAATTGGTGATTTCCAGCCAGACGAAGCAAATACCATGTAGCTGCATCTTATTTGCTACATATTAGTAACTACATGTAGTGTAAAACCTGGCTTGGGGTCATACTTACTAGTAAGCTTAACAAAAATACAAGTCAACAATTCAAGAGTTCAAGTTCACCTAAATTTAACTTACTTGTTCCAAAGTGAGCACGATTTTCTTGATCGTTTCAGTCTCTTTCCATTCCTCGGCAAAGTAGGATTTGAGCTGGGGTCGATGATGAAAAAGCATCTCGAAAGCCTAAAAGATAATAGATTTCAGATAATAAAGAAACTTATTATAAGTAAATATTGTATTTCGCATTTGTTAATAGAATCGAAGTATTAAAACTTCTAGGCGTCTATCAAAAAGTTGTTGGAAAATGGTAGAAAATGAATGGTAATTGTATATCAAAGCTCGATTCCTGACTTGCAGGATTGTTCCAGACTCTGGAATCTAACAAGGGAAAGGGACCAAGTCAAGCTGGTCTTTTGACTCGAGACCAAGTCCATCTTATAGAGTCGGCCATGGGGATCTCAAATCCGTTTTCTGTTCTTGCAAAACACTGCGCAATTGCTTCGCAATTTAGATCGAATCACATAGAAAATTGCGCTAAATCTTTATCAAGGCGCCAAACGAAATCCAAACAATTGTTTCGGTGGTGTAATGGATAGTTTGCTAGACTACCGAACCTATGACTTTTTTGTCCCCAGTTCGAATCCCGCCATCATCGAACTTTTTGCTTTTTTCAAAAATTTCGCTTGTTTACAATGAATAGTAGACCCAAACTTTTGCTTCCTGGAACTTTGAAAAAGCTTTTGAAATAAAAACAAGCCCTTGATACACGTGATCCTATAGTTATCAAGTGGGAACATAAAAAAGTACTTCTCAAGCGCTTCATATGTATTTGTTTTTGTACTTTCCAGACTTTCAAAAAAAAGCAAAAGTTCGATGATTACGGGATTCAAACTCGGAGCAAAAAAAGTCATACGTCATCAGTTAGCACACTATTCACTACACCACTGAGGAAGTCATTTGGATTTCGTGTGGCGCCCTCATAAAAAGTCCACAATTTAAGGCAATTTTCTATGCCAAATCTCTTGCGATTGCGAAGCGTCTTGCAAAAAACGGATTCGAGATCCCCATGGCTGCTTCTATAAGATGGACTTGTTCTCACGTGAAAAGGCCAGCTTAACTCGGTGCCTTTCCCTAGTAAGACCTTTTTTTGCCAGGCTAGGAGCTATGTCCTGGCCTTGGCTGGGCATGACCTCTAGCATGGCTCTGACCTTGTCTAGCCTAACTATAAGGCCCAGTTGGAAGCTCTTTGCTGGGTGCTAAACTAAACCCAAGCCTAAAAACTATAAACCTTGTTTATTTGCTTACAAATGTGGCTTAAACCTTCCATGTACCAACCTTGCAACCCATGTCGAACAGTGAACCGAAATTATCGGGCCACCAATCATACATCAAATCCAGCTCGGTTCGCTCGACTTTGAGACCCTAGAAATGTTTTGTTTTTGCTCAAATAGTCACTAAATTTACCATTTTCTGGAGAATTTTCGAATTTATTTATTTGATGTCTAACAGTTTAAATCTAATTTAAGATACAAATACTCAAATCCAAGCGCTCACCTCATCTTCATTCCGCACCATATCCATTTACGATCAAATTTATGTACACGTTTGATGAAGGGTTTAGATAATTTTGGATAAAGATGAGCACTTGATGTGATGTGCTTTTCTGAAAAGTTTGCTTTTCAAAATCCGCACTTTTAAATCGAAGAACAGGCAGAAATATAAGCTATAAAAGATATTCAGGTTGAAAAATCTAAAAAAATTGTAGTATAAATAATTAAATGAAGAATTTTCAATACATCCGACTTTCAGATCCATTTCTCACAAGAAAATTTCCCCGAGAAACACGATTTTTTCACTAATTATTTCCAAAAAGTTTACGAAAGGTGAATGTCAATTTTTTCTACAATAAAATAAAGAAACTTTTTCAAATTTGGCGAAAAGGTAAGTTTAAATTCTCCAAAAAGGACAGATAATTGCTCGTTTTGTGGTGAGTAATTTGCAGTGATGACGCTAATCGAAATGTCAAAAATAGATCGTTAATTTTGAAATTTTGATGCAAAACTCTCCCGAAATAACCCTTGTTTTGATAAAAGATTGAAAATCAGAGAATCCTTATAGAAAGAAAGCAGATATTTGCCAGGAATGGCTTTGGGAGCAAACAAGAAGAGATATTTCAGGAGAGATTTTACCGGATCAGATAAGATCAGATATTTTGGGCTTCGAGCCCTATAAATTGCTAGTATGAAGAGAAAAAGTCAAAACAAAGCAACAAGTTTTGTTTGCATAGATCTTGAGAATGTTTTTGTGCAAAAATTATAGAGATTGATCGCGTATGCACAAACTAGTAGCGTTTTGAACAAGCGCAACTCGGATTTTCTCATTTTTTACACTATAGTTTGGACTTTTTACCATTACTGAACAACAAAAAACAAAAAGACTTTAAAAGGAAGTCACTTTTTAACTCGACTTTAACTGCTGAGCTTGTGAGAGACAGGGTTGAAATGTTGCTACCAGCTTGGCTCAGCAGGTCAAGCCAAACTAGACTAGATCACCCTGGTTGCAAGTATGGCAGCAAATGAGCTAGTTCATCCACACTAGGGCAGACAAAGCTTTACCAAAACAGAATCAAGCCAAGACTGGCACAAGGGTGGGCCTGCCTTAACTGGCTTACTCAGTGGCCTAATCCCGAAAAAATACCCGGACCGCAAAGAAGGCAAACCTGGGCCTAGATTCTAATCTAACTTGGCCGTGCCTACTTGAACTGGCCTGGCTCACAGATTCTAGAGACCAAAACTTTAAGCCCATAGTTTGTCAACTAGAATAGATCAAATGTTCTTTGTACCAAGAATTCGGAACAGCTTCTGGCTCATTGGATTCTTTTTTTGATTAGCTAACAAAATTTGGTTAGCTAGCATAAATAAATTGAGCTAACAAAAGGGTTAAGCTAAATAAGTAAAGGTTCTTGAGAAACAAAAGGATTCAGGTATTCATAAAATCCAAAAAACTCGTTAGTTGAAAAAGTTAGCATTACTTTTTTCACTAATCAAGGGATTTCTTTTCAAAAAAAAGTAAAAAGACACGTCAGAGAAAAACTTTAGAAAAGAAACTATGAAAAAGGAGAAAAGAGGATAAATAAAGGCCCAGATTTTCCATATTTGTCTCCTCATTTTGTGAAAAGAAACAAAACGACGAGATAATTATCGGATCCCAAAGGGGAAAAGGAAAAATGACGAAAACGACAAAAATCTTCGGATTATCACGAAAAAGAAAAAGTGGTTTTTGTCTCTTTTCTTTTTTACGAAACAATACCCCTCCACGTGGGGATTTTATTTTCTTTAAAAAATATAAAATATTATGTAAATTCAGGGGTTTACGGTATTTTTAAATTTTCCGCTTCAAGTGAAAAGGAGAAAGCTGACACTTTTTTTACGGCTAAATTTGGAAGTGATTTTGCAGAGAGGAAACGAAGAACCAAACTCTGGCTTTGTGATTGTAGAGAAATGGTGTTTTTGAGTTAACTATGCGTACTAGATTTTTGAGCGTAAAGATTTGGAGGTGAATAACAAAATGAAGTGGATGTAATGGTAAATAAAAACAAAAAAAATGTTGACTTGTGAAAATTTAAAAATGCTATTTGTGCTTTGTGATGGTTGCATTGAACAAAAGCACAGTTTTAGTCTGATTGAATGGTATTCTTGTTGTTGGAAAAAGTATGGCTAGGTACAGTGGACAAACTTAGCTTGGTTTTAAAAAACTCGCTGTTTGTGCAATTTACCTAAACTTCGAAATATAATAATAAAACTTGAGTTTTAACAAACAATTGGTATTTGCCAAATGACTTTCAGAAATTTTTGGTTTTTATACAAAACTGGCGCGACAAGGCTTAGCATATTTTTAATAACATATTAACTAAAGCTGGTAACATGTTTTTGAAATCAAACACAAATTCGTTTTTAACAATTATACTTCGTGGAAAACCATTCGGGCGTGACAGCATCACATCTGCAGGCATGGCTCGATAAGTTCATCGTCGTCTTTTTTGGTCTCCGACCACTTCTTGGCTAAGGTCAATTTTCCTGAGCATTTTGGTTCTTCCCTTTGCAGATTCTTCCCAGCGTTTCCCACATGCTCAATAGTTCAGATCGGGGCTTTGGCTTGGCCCTCCATAACGGCAAGTTTTGTTGCGACAGCCAGTTTTGAACGGTCGAGCCTTGTGTTTTGGTCGTTATCATGCTGAAAGTGAAATTTGGGGCATAGTTTGAACTGCATTTGGGCATATGGTTTGTCAAAATGTCCAAGTAAACTCGTTGTCCATATCCCAGTGTTCGCTTGGTGGTGGTTCCATAAGAAGGGCCACCCCATACGAGCGTTTCCGCCGCCATGTTTGACTGTGGGGATGTGTTTTTTTGTTCTTTGGTTAACTGGACGTCGAATATACTGATTCCATCAGACCAAGTAGGGACTTGCTTTCATTGTGACAAGCATCTTTCCATTGCTGAGGTCCACCCTTGATGCTCCTTAGCAAACTACACTCGGGCTTTCCGTTTTTGCTGAAATCAATGGTTTCTTGGCGGGCGTCTCCCAAATAGTCCTTTAGCGTTTAGACGACGTTGCACCGTTCGCGAAGTGATCTTACTTTCAAAGAAGTTGGTAATCTTTGTAGTCTCAGTTGCAGGCTTCTGGGTTGCTTTTTGTGGTTTGATCCTGTTATCATCTCGGTAGTTGTTTTCCGTGAAACACCAACATTCTTTTGCATTGTGCTCCTTTTGTCTTGAAAGCTTCAAAATTCTCGAAACAGTCGACTGGTGCCCCTCAGTGGTAGCAATTCGTCCTGTCTCTCACCGGCTGTGAAGAGCCACAATCGTTCCCGAATAGCAGGCTGGGTTGTTTCTTGCGACCCATTGACTGAAATTAATAAATAATAAATTTCAATCAAATTATGCTCAAATTAAGAAAACGCAGAAAAATAATCAAAACTACTGGGAATGCAATTTGCTAGTCTTTGTCGCGCCAGTTTTGTATAAAATCTTCAAAATTTTTTTCTGAAGTCTATTTGGCTAAATCCAATTGTTTTTGTTAAACATCAGTTTTTTTTATATTTCGAAGTTTTAGGTAAATATTGCACAAACAGCGAGTTTTATTACAAAAACACTAAATTATGCTAAGTCTTTGTCCGCTACTGTATATAAAGCAAATCAATATCCTGTGTCCTTTGTGCTCGAAACATCACCTTCCTAGCACACGCATTTCTAACTTTTACTAAAGCAGAAATTTCCTGTGGGGCTTTGCGTTTATAAATGGAAACTGGCGTCTTTCTGGTGCATTCAATTCAGAATTTATACAGTGCCTTTCAAGTTTTGTTTCGTTTCTTGCGCCGCACCCCCTTTTTTGCGATTCTACAACTACTAGCGTTAACTTTAGCTAGCGTTCTGGTCGCTTTCATATTAGCAAGACCGTAGCCAAAAACCCTAAAAAACACTTCATAAGGGCTACGGTAACTTTCAAAAAAGTTTAAGAATAAAACGAATAATTAAACATTTCAAAACTAGACTGCATCTTGCTTTCAAACAGTTTTTGTTGCTTCTTATGTTTACTGATAATAATTTATTGATTTGATAATAATGGCTCCAGCTAATAAGCTGACAGACCACCAAAAAGGACAAATCGACACGCACTTCCAAAACAAGAAATCAGGGAAATTGGGCATATTTTGGGTCGCAACGATCGGCTGATTTGTCGATATCTTCAAAAAAAAGTTGTTTCTGCTCCCAGACGTCGAATGGACCCAAAGCCCAAATTGTAAATAAAGGAGAGGCTCATTACTAATTGATTGACCTAATATTTCACCGGAAGGTTTGGTTCTGTAAGTTAAGTTGCGCAAATCCCAAATTTTAACCCAGAAGTCAAGGAACAGTTCGACACATGCAAAAATTTGAGTTACAACTTGGAGCGAGCTAAATTGGAGGTGAATTTTGGTCTAATGGAGCAGTAGTTATCGAAATTCAGTTCCAATGACCATCCCGAGAAAGCCAAGTTAACAGAAATTCAATCTGAACATTCCCTTATTTTACTAAGAATCAATTAAAAACATCAAATGCGAAATATTAAAAATTGGCCGTGTTTTGATCGATGTTAAAACACAGCCAAAAGCCAAAACGTTTCCACCTACAATTCTCAAATGGACAATTTTCTTGGGTCTTTTGTAGCAAAAATTGAGTTCACAAGTGCGTGCACTAGCTTGAAAAATAATAAAAATCATGTAGACTGGTAAAATTTAGATTAATTTATAAATTTTAAAGTTAAATTTAGATAAAACTTTAAAAAAATTATAGAAATTCTTGTAATTAAAGCGAGAGATTTCAAAGCTGAAACAAACCTTTAGAAAGTTCAAAAAAATTACCGAAAACCTGACAAAATTGAAGCTAGTCATTTAAAGTGATATCAAGAAATCAAAGTGAAAAAAAAAACACCCCGATTTTCAAAAAAAGGCAAAAAGTGTAGCCAAGCAACGGAAAACCCGGCTCACTTTGTGACTTCTGCGATAATTTCGTGAATTTCTCCCCAACATTTTTATATTGTGG